AAGATAGTTCTAGAAACGTGGCGTGACACTAGTCACGTGACCTCGCTGACGCAACAATATTTAAACTGGATGGGGGTTTTGTAAACACGATATAGAGATCTTCGGAGATTTTAACTAAGTTCCAACATTTGTAAATCTTTAGATTCAGATTTTAGGAATGTTGTTTTAGAGATTTTTGGATCTTTAAACCATGGAAAAGTGTTAAGGCGTGTTTCTTTAACTTAACATTGTGTAGTGATTTTTATTTTATAGTTTTTTTTTCCTTTTTGCTTCAGGGTTGGGGGATCACGCATGACTGGTTAGAGAGAACCAGTAAAGGTTTCTCTTCACACCTTTCTCTTCCACTAGTCCAACACAACCACAGAAACACTTGTACTTTGTTTTGTTTTTTGTTAGTAAGCTTGTAGTTTTTACAGTTTTGTTTGTTGACTCCTTTGTGACGAACTCAGTCGTACTTCGAAAAGTAACGAACCCATATTCTGCGATACCTTAGTCGTCGGACCTACGTGTTGCTTTGTGGGAAATCCGAGTATCGGAATATAGCCATATTAGTAACCATGAGCTGTGGATTCTGCTGGCTTTGTTTATCACCGTTGCACTAGACTAGAGTAAGAAATTTCCGGAACACAATTTTAAAACCCGTCTGAAATCAACCATGACTCAAATTAGACTGATTGAACTTGGAATGGCAGTAATTTCAAGCTCGAACTTGTATAGAAATTGGGCTTAAAGCAAGTAATATGTGATTTTGCCCCAGTGAAAGAAGAAACTAAAATTCATATAATTTTGAAATATTGAATTAGCACCATTGTCGCATCTTAATTGTTACTGTATTATTTTCTCGGGGTTTATTATAAATGAATGTGATTTGATTTGTAGGCTTACGGTTTTGTTGTATAATTAAAATTTAATGGAAGTATAGAACATTTGAAAATATTGTATCGACAGAGTGTTAAGTGTTTACATTGTTTAACTTAGATTTCATTAGATAGAAACTTTTATTTGAACTTGCTAGGTATTGAAATACATGGAAACAATGTGTCGATTTCGTAATATGCATTCTTTACACGTTTTGATAGGTGTGTCCACGTTTCTCAATTAAATTTGGGTAAATTTCCTCTGTACTTTAAAAAGAGAGAGGTTCTTCGGATTGGGTTATAAGTTGGTTGTCACGGGTCCTTATACTTGAATATGAAGCCTAATGGATAAATTACATAGATCAATACAGATCAACATGATACCATCGTTTTTCTATTACTCATACACTGTTACTCAGTCGCGCGCATTCCGTCAGTCGTTCCTTTGCCGCGCCTCTATACTTAAAGCACAGCTGATGAGCATTGCCGATAGAAGCTGAACGGTGTGCACTTGTATAAATCCACGTTAATACTTTTTCATTGTTTCGCTGTCTTTTGTATTTGAGAAACTGTTTAGGCCGGTGGTGAGAAATAAAAGTCAAGACTTTTACCAATGAGTTTTTGTTTTTTATCTGAAATTAGTTTGCACGCGAGAAGCAGAATTTAAAAGTATTACCAAGTGATTATACAGGCTTAAAATAAAATTCATTAAGGAGAATTCGATCAGTGTGCACATATTGTTCGGTAACTTGACATGGTAACTTAAATAACTTAAAATTACGGTTCTGTCGATGCTTACTTTAGAGTGAACGTTGTTAAAGAATCGAACTTTTTATTTTTAAATAATAACCAAAAGGACCGCTGTGTGAAATTATTGATCTGTTTCATTCCCACTTCCCCCTGCGGGCAATACTCCATGATAGGTATATAAAATTGAAAGTCATTTGTCGCTTCGCCAAACCTAAAAACAAACTACTTCACTGTCGTCGTCTTTGCTGCATGGCCGCAAGGCGTTGTGGGAGATACGGGTTACAACGGGCGGCCATAACAGGATCTTTACGTGCCGCATCTCCTGATTCGGTTTGGTTTCGAACTGTAGTGTTAGGTACGTAAAGAGGTATAGAAATACTGCTAAAGATTTATTTAATCCAGAATTTTGTCATAAATCCAGTAAATCTATTACAGGGGGATGTTTGAGGTGGATGTGTATTTTAACTTTTATGGTTTTCATAGGAATTGTGAATAGTGCCATATAAATGATAAACATGGCAGTAAATCAAATAATATTAAAATATTTTATATCTAATTTTCTATACTAAAAATATTCATCGTTAAATTATAAATACGAACTGCATTATACTTGTAGTTGTAGATCATTTTTCACCTGTATAATACTGAATAACGTTAATTATTGAATAATCATACTACTTGAAGTATAAAACTATTTAAAAAAGGATACTTTATACTTTCATAATAAAATTTAAGTTATTACTAGGTGGATATCCAATATTTTGTATACGTAGTAATAAACTTCTACACCTCCATAGTTATTCTGTTGTCAGTGGTCGCCTAGCAACAAGTGTAATTAGTGATCTTTAAAATCTAGAATATATGTAACAATGTTAGTTTTTAGAGTTTAAATTTATGCAGTTCATTATTAGGATTTAAAATGTTTACATATAAATCTAGCTTTTTATGAATTGGTTTGAATTTTAGGTTTATTTTTAATCTGTGGGTCATTCATTCAAAAGCAGTAGTTATGAAGGCAACTTTTTCTTTTTTAAGAAATAAGCAAGAGAATCGATTTTTGAAGTAATTAAAGCCTTTTATAACATATGAACACAAATTAGTGGTTTTTCTCTTCCATATTTAAAGATGATATTCTCTTATCAAAAGTTTTACTGTGATAAGTTTTCAAATAAAATGTGTGGTATCTAACAGCTTAACTAAGGATGCCAAGAATGACATTTTTACACACCAGGTGCTCTCAGTAAGATGCCATTGTTACTATAGCCAAGGTGTATTATAACATCATAATTTTATGTTTGCATATATGCTGTATTTAGTTTTAGAATATGAATTATTTTGCATCATTTATTTATAGTGTACAACATTCAATTTTCATTTTATATTTTGGTTTACAGTCAGTTACTTAAAATATATGAGTTTTAAATTCAGATAGCATTTGTGGAACAACTCAGAGGAATTTTTGTTATCTGTAAATACCCCAGTTAGTAATAATGTTTTTAAATGAGCTTTATTTAGCATTCTTTGTATTTAAGATCATTGCACTGTGATTAGAGGAGGGATTTATTATTTACATATTATATTGTTTATCATATACATTATATTTACAGAAATGGATTCTTAACAAATACAAAAAACTTTTCAAACCACCATAAGTTACATTATGCATGCAATAATCTTATTAAGTTTACCTGAAACTTAGATTTAGATTTTACTTTTTTTAGTTCAAAGGTGACCAGTTTTTATTTGCTGAGTGGAAAATCAGCTTCAGGTTTTATAAAGAAGGAATATTAAACTATGGTAGCTTTGATTCTGAAAGGTGAAAGTTGCAGAGTTGATTAAGTTTGTACTCAAATGAATAAAATTTGATAGAAATATTTTGTATTATATAAATATCAGACATGGTTGAAACATTATTGTAGATAATTATTTATAGTATATAGGTTACAAGATTAAACATATCTATACAATTTTGCAATCAGATGTTCTCTGTTCTATTATTTATTTTTTTACCAGACATGCTCCAACTTTTCTGCTACCCCACTCTAGGTCTGATCATGACCCAGTGGTTATTATGCCTGACTGTGGATCTGTGGGTCCATTTTTCATGTCCTGTTATTGCCAGGAAAACATGCTTTACACTTTGGGCCTGTGGATGCATATAACAATGATGGACAAATCTCACTATTTGGTCAGTCAAAAGTAGCCCAAGAGTTGGTAGTAGGTGCTGTTGATTAGCTGCCTTCCCTCTAGTCTGTCAGTTCAAAATTAGGAACAGCTAGTGTAGATGGACCTTGAATAGTTCTTTACAAATACCTGAAAACAAACAAATCACACTACCATCATATTTCTTTAGTGTACATCTAAGAATGGGATATACCCGTTTTACTTGTGACACACAAGTTGCTGGTTGCAGTTAATGTTGTGTTTTTAGAGAATCCTGATAATTTCATAGTTTGAAACATTGCCTGTTATGTTTTTTCAGAAGAAAACTGAGAAGTTACTCAAGTCAGAAACTCCTGTAAAGATTCATTTGGGAAAGAGTGTGGCTTTAGGCTTTTTACAATAGCAGTAATCTATTTCAATGATGAAATGGCTTCAGGAAGAATTAGATATTTCCTCTGTAAAATCATGCTTAAAGAACTGATTACTTTGAACAGGACTGAGAGGAAGTGCCAAAAGTCAACAAAATGCAAATACCTAAAGTTTTTTAATGAGTTGTTCATAAAACATTAGTGTTAGGACTTTCCTATTTTTTAACACTAAATTCCTTATTCGGTCTGTTAAGGGTTTTCAAGAAGAATAAGAGTGTATAATATATTTCAACTACACTATGCCCATCATATCCATCGAGAATGATGCGTTTCACTTAATACAGACCTCATCAGCCCGACTGGAATGTCACAAACACAGTAGTATTTTGAACTAATGTTTATAATGGGCATTTGTTACAACAACAATTATTATATATTTATGAACTTATTCAATAGCTTAATTGAATAAAATTTGTTAATTAGCAAGATTGCAGGTTCGAATCACACCTAGTCTATGCTTTTACTTCACCAGAGAAATCTTAATTTTACCAGACAGTTTACTTCCATTAAAATGTCTACTTTATTTTAGTTCCAAAACGCTAGTACCTAGCACAATATAATTATTCCAAGGTAATGGGAGTATTGCAATTTAAAAAAAAATGAATTCATATCAATGATCGGCTTCTTTTATATATATTAAATTTGTGTTATATATTGTGTAATACGATGTCGCAGAGTGACTAATCGAGCTTAATGCTGCAGTTTGTTTTGTTGTGATATCAGTAAAATGTGCACATGCCATAAATCACAAGAAGAATTATGCATTCTGTAGGCTACAACACAGAATGTCATATGAATTTAAAAGCAAGAAATAAAATTACCTGTTACTCTTAATTTTGGTTTTATTTACTCTTGAAACAAAACACTTTTGGGGACTCTCTAGAAGTACATCTAGTTTTATATATGTGGCATCTGCAGCACCTAAATAACTACTTGTAAAATGTTAAAATTTTACAGAATTAAGAAGTTGGTTTTGCAATATGCACACATCCATAAATTCAGCCTTGGTTTTTGTGTTAAGTTATTTAAAAAAATTATATTAGTAACTTAGAACTCTGTAGAACTTGGAATAAGAGAGATGTGGTTAGGTTCTAAAATGTTACTTTCGTTATTAATGTAAGGAAGTTAAATTGAAACAACAAATTAATTTCTTGTGGTGGGTTCATGATGCATTATTTGAAACTGGACTTTCATATAATCATGGTTGAAATATTTTCCTAAGTGTTTTGTGGAAATCTGAACTTTTTCAGTCATTCAAGGTCATATCTGAAATCAGCTCAAATATTAAGAAAAAATATGGTGAGTAGAATGAGGGTAGGCCTACCAATTTTTGTCACACAGAAAAGTTTCATTTGTTTGAAATTGTTCTTTGTGGCATGTCTTCAAATGATTGTCAGTTCTTTTTGTTAACTTGTATTAGTCATGATTCTGCGTGGTTCAGCAATAAATCAATTATATGTTAAAATTTAAAATTCTCCAACCTCACTGTGTTTTGTATTATTTTACTTTTAAGAGTATTTAAAATCTAAGACTGATGATTTCTGTGAATGGGTAATTTGAATTTGAATCAACAATGTTGCTGACTCTTGTCTTAATTTTTATGCTCTTGCTCTCTTGGTGAAAACATGCAGAGGCCTATATCATATACAACAGAACTTTTGTGGATAAGAATGTAACAAATATTCAGCAGTATTTTATTCTTAATGGTTGTTACTAGAGCAGTTAAATTAGGTCTAAAAACCAGTGAGCATGCTTGTAATATGTTATTCAATTCAACAGTCGTCTTTATGTTCTAGCTTGTCAGTATTGGTAATTTGAGTTTCTAATTCATAAGAATCTATAGACTTTGTATTTGGACATCACAAATATCTAATTTGAACCAAAGCTGCATTCAACATACCATGTGACAAAAAAAATTTATATTTAGCATTGTTTTTAATATCTAATTTTAAATTAAGAAATTTACTAATGTATAATACTAAAAATATGATTTTAATATGCAATTTGATACCAAACTTATTGATATAGATTCATAAGATAGTAGTTCAATAAAATTTTGAATGTAAGTCTACAAACATGATGACATGCCCTTTGACCCTTGACCATATGAAAACTCAGAGAATAAGTTTAAAGGACTATTTAAAAATGTAATTCTTCAACAGATTTCCATGTTTAGATGCTGTCTAAATCTTGACGTCTTAGGAATATGAAATTGTGGGCTTAAATAAAATTCATTGCCTCTATAAAAGATATCCCCCTCAAAAAATCAAAATACCAATTTCTGCTTATTGTAGGAGTTTTATATTTGTCTGAAGGCATAAAATGCACAAATAAAGCACATAAGTTACATCATGTTGTATAGCAATATCCTATTTGTGTATTTTATTATGGAGCAAACAATTGTACATTTCCTAAGAACAACAGAATTTCTGGAAAGAATAACTATAATGGTTGTTGTTGAGTGTTAAAGACATCAACAAATTAGTCCAAAAGAGGTGGGAGTGGTTAGAGAAAAATGTGATTTGAAAATTGCAAAAGATAAAGTATGCATAATTCTTTCCCAAGATATTTGAAAAATGCGTTTTAAATGTCAGAAATGCTTAAAATCAGTTTTGGCTTCACCTCCTAGTAGAGCTGGACAATTAACTTTTACACTTGGCAAAATTTTCAGAAGATTCCACTTTCAAATCAAAGAATCACATGTCTTCATACCAAGATTACAGTGAAAGGGTTACTGAAGGATTGTTTTTCACACAATTCATTTTTATTTTTTAAATAAAATGTGCAGTGATGAGAAGTGTTCTACTGGTTTTGTGCCATAAAATAACTCAAAATTGTAAAACCATTGTACAATTCAGGTATTTCTATTAATATTTTGCTTATATGTATTCAGATACAGTTGTTCGGTAATATTTTGACTAAAGTGTATTAAACATGGATTTACTAGTAACCTACCAATAACAGAAGGCTCAAGTTTTGGTTGGTAGAAATGTAGACAAATAGTCTGTGACTTGGAAATAATTGAAGATGAGACAACTTGGTGTTAACAAGCTGTAACAGCTTTTATTAACCAAGCTTATAAATGCCAGAATGAAATTAAGATGAATGAAATTAAACTGAATTGAAAATGAGTAGAAGCAAACTAATGTTAAAAAAATTAACCTTAAGGGTGTGGGGTCAAAGTGTGCATGTCATGACCTTTTACAGGGTTGCAGAGAAAATTTAACTTCTTCCATATGGGGTTGGTTGAGGTGACCGATCTTGTGACCACAAAGTAATCATCAGATCTTCTACTATAACTTTTAATATATTTTCACAAAAGTTAGCAAGTGTTCAGCAAACAATGCAAGTTTTTTATATACACAAAATCAGTATTTTTAATTAAGTATTTTGTTAAATACTTGTCCATGAATATATGGGGTCCGAGTGTTGACTGCTCTGAGTGCAAAGTCATTTTCATGTTAAGATTAAAAATACTTTCTTCTGAAATTTTCAAATTTTGTGTGTGTGTGTGTATAACCTCTAAAACCTTCTAAATAAATATGAAACATTTTTTAAAAATTTAATCTTTATATTTTGTGTGTTATTTTCTCTACTCTAACTCTATATGGTCTTGGTCAATGACCAACCTTGTAACCATCATAACAAAAAATACCATATAAATCTAAATTACCATTATTTTTCTTTTCGGAATGACTGCAGATTGTAACAGGAAACACATATTTTATTCTAAATACCTTAAGGCCTGTAACAGTATAAATCTGTTTCTACTTAATTTTATTGTTTTATTACCCTTTGAACTGTGACTAATAATCCTTCCATACAAGTTGTAAATCATAGGGGCATTTGGCATATACTTGAGAGCATGCTTCATGAAGAATTATTATTTTTCATTATTTTACCTAATCTAATTTATTAAGTTTCTGATTTTAGTTACTTTTATAACAAAAAATAATACATGAAAAACAAGAAATATAGTACTTACCTTTCACTACTTGTTTTTTGCTCTCAGTTGCTGATGAAGTTTAAGCTTACTTTTTTATGCTGATGGTACTAGTACACTAAATAATTCACCTGAAAACACAGAATAATTACATGCACAAAACAATGTATTGTAAGTATTATAATTTAACTGGCTTTCTAACTATGGCATAAGAGCCATACTGTGAAAGAAAGTTTCAAACTGAAAACGAAATTAGCAATATTCTGTACTGAAAACAACATAATATAATATGTTATTTGAGAGATTAAAACTTTACCTTTCTTCTGGTTATAAATCATATAAAATCTTAAAGAGAATTATAGGCAATTTTTGAAAGAGAGAATGTGATAGGTGGATGTGGCAAGTATGTCTGACTTTCTAATTTATGTCTGTGTAAACAAAGGATATTGAAGGCTATAAAAATTAGACTTTGTATTAGTATTATCTATATTATAATGAGTAATTTAATTTATGTTAAATTCCTTATTTTGGAGAAGGGTGGTAAATAAATTAGAGAAATGGCAAAAACTAGAAAATAAATATCATGATTCTCATACAAAGGTAGATTGAGGATTTTTTCAAATATTTCCTTTGAACATTAAGAAATTAAAACCTATATTAAAATTTGATTTATTTGTCAAATTTGTAAAAATTGTAATATTATATGAGGTTTAGTTTTTTGATTTCAAAAGGAAATATAAAAATAAATTCTCAATCTTCACTTTTCTTTATCACATGACATTTCTTTGCTTTAAATTGCCCATTTTAGATTTTCTTTCTACACTATATGATCTTCTGAATTTGGCACAAATTACACACTTATAGTATAGATATTTTTAAGCCATAATCTAAACTTATAGCCTCCAACCTTCTTGCTTTACTGAGATATAAACAAAGTTAAACCCACTTGCCTTGCCTTCCTATCAAATCTTGTCTTTCAAAAAATGCCAATAATTCTCTTTGACATTTGCTGTTGGATTATTTATAACTAATAGAAAGAGAAGATTTTAGTTTATTGAATTTTCTCTAAGGTTAGCTTGTTCTTATCACAGTTATTAAATTATTTGGGCTCATTTTTATTGCTTGCTATTTCATATCAGCTCGACTAGCTAACAGGATTTATTTAACCCATTTATAGCTTAGTTAGTAGGCCAGTTAAATTATAATAGCTTCAGAACATTAAGTAAGTAAGATTTATTTTGTATTTTTCAACTGTTCATTTTACCCTATGTTACTGATTTAACTACAGTTAGTATTAGGATAGAGTAAATAATGGATAAAATATAAAGTTTTACTGAAAAAAACTTTATATTCATATAAGAGGTTCTAAGGATTATGTAAAGGAAATATGAAACTCTAAAATGAAAAAAAATATATATTTTTAACATGAAAATCACCTTGCACTCAGACTAGCCAGAGTGTGAGTCATAATTACTCAGTAACGTTACAGGCAAATCTTTAGTAAAAATACTTTATTAAAAATTCTTATTTTTTCATGAACAAAATACTTAATGTTTGCTAATAGCTTACCAAATTTCCTGAATATACACTGAGTAAGTTTGGAATTATGATGCACATTAATTCTTCAATATGAGTATGGTCCTGTGGACAGACCTTATGCACATAGATCTAAATAAAATAAAATTAGATTTGTGCCTGTGATTACCCTGAAGAATAAATGATAAAAATATGAATTGAAGAGTGCTTGTCATCTAACTGTGAAGTCATAAAGAAGCAGCCATGCAAATTCTTAAGCATAGTTTCTCTTTTAACTTTCAAATTCTATATAACTTAACCAGTGACAATAAAAAAAAAATACTGCTATTAGTTTGACTCATTTCTCAGCTCTGACAGTTGCAAAAGTGCTTTGCACTAAGAAGATGCTTGCCATATAAAACTGACTATACCATGTAATGGTTAAGACAACCTGGATTGGCACCTATTTTAGACTACCATCTCAGACCTGTTTGAGACCAATTTTTGTACCTATGCTATGTGCATGAAAAAGTTGTGTATTTTGAACTTGAGTATTTACATAAAGGTAAAATTATGATAAAAATCTACAACATTTATATGAGAAAAATTGGGATTTGTGAAATGGTATTATGTAATAGCAAACAATGATAATATATCAAAATTAAAAAAGTAAAAAACTAAACAACTGTAAAACGTAATGTTATAGACTGTTTTTAATCTACATGTTGCTAGAAATTTGTATCGTGTTTCAGTAAAATGGAATGTGATGTCATATAACGAGAACATGATCTAACATGTGGAACATTTTTCAGTTTTAGAACAGTTTGAAGAACATAAAATGCAAACTAGAATAAATAAAGTGGATTATTGATTAGTTTGTTTGCCACTATTGAGAGTGTTTGTTAGCTGATGAATAAGTCTGTAACTTGTGTACGTTACTTTTAGACAGTTATTTAGTTCAGTGCTGTAATGTACAAATTGTGTTTATGACAGAGTAACAGAGATATAAGAAGAAAAATATGTGTGAGAAGATTAGCAAGTAAGTAAAATTATTAAATCAGGCCTGTTATTCAGTGAATAGTAAGTAAGTAACAAAAACTGTAGAATTTGTAGTAAAAGAAAGAATAATCTTTATTATTAAATGGAGTGGACATTGCATTCTTATTCTTCCCAAATATTCAAAAGCAATTACCCAACAGTAGAAATCATTACAACAATAAGATTGAACATAGAGCTTTCTTTTTTAAGATCTACATATAAATGTTTTGATTTCCATCTTATTTTTCAATATAATTAGTTACTGTTAATATTTCATTTTATAACACAAGGAATGTACAAACCTTTGTTAATGCTTAATTATTGAAACATTACTTACTGAAATTAGTTATGTTTTGAAAGAAATCAACTTGCTTTGTTTCTATTCTGAACCAGGTTAGTTGGCGTAGATGAACTTTATAAAGAAGAAAATTAAGGGACACAAAAAAGGACATGACAGTGAAGAAGAATTTGATACTTATGTACAGAGTCAGCAGTCATGGCCAAAAGAAAGTGATGATCAACCTCAAGAACGAAACACAGAAGAGTGGCAGTTTTTTCAGCAACTAACCCAGAAAGTTCAAGAGACACTTCAAAAATCTCAAACATCCCTTAGTAAATTAAAAGACGAAAGTGCCATAACTGACTTAGATAGACCTGAATATTTGGATGAGGAAGAACATCAATCACTTCCTTCTGGTGCCAAAACATGGATAAATTTTGAAGAAGATTCATCTTTTCCAGAAGACTTTGATATCTCCAGCTCAGATCAAGATAAGTCTGTTAAAAGCTCAAAACCCCCACCAAGACCACCTCCTCCAAAGCTTGAAAAGACAACAGAAGTAAGTGAACAAGAAACTAAAGCATTCCATGAGTGTCAAGAACAAGAATCTCATCCAAACTTAGAATTTTCATTAGAAGAAGAATTTGGTTTAAGTGAAGAATTAGCTAAGGAAATTAAGACATTTCCAGAATCTCCCAAACAAGAATCTCATCAACAGTTAGAATTTTCTTTGGAAGAAGAATTTGGCTTTCATAAGGATGATGCAAGCACCTCTTTAAACCCTAATGTTGAATTTTTATTAGAAGATGAAAACAAGGAAAGAAATGATCCATTTGATACAACTTTTGTAGACTTGTCAACGGATTTATCTTTGGTAAAACATGTTACAAGTGATAGTACATTAATCGAGACTCAAAATGATCTAAGGGAAAGTTCTGATCCATTTGATACATCATTTGTTAATACTTTTGAAGTTTCTAGAAGAGTTTGCACAGAAAAGGTTCTTGAGGATAAAGAAAGTAGCGTGTTTGATGTTGACAAAAGAAGTGAAAGATCTAGTGAAATAAAATATAATGCTTTTGATGAAAAAAATTTAAAGAGTGTTGCACTTGAAACTGTCTTAATACCAGGAGAAACTTCTAAAGCTGATATTGAGACAATGAGTAACCCATTTTATTCAGAATCTGTTGTCAACCAGTCCATGGGACCATCAGTCAGCCCATTTGATGTTGACTCCTCTAGTCATTATAAAGCAGGCACAAACCCCTTTGATGAAGTGCCTTCTAATAGCCTTGGAACTCAAAACATTGACTTGTTAAGTGATACATTTTCTTCTGATGTGTCAAAAGCTGTGAAAGAACAGTCACAGGGTGTTTGTGAAAAAACAGATTCATTATTTGATCCATTTGGTCTAGATTCTTCTGCTCATTCTTCTGTTGTGGATGGTACTTTAGACTCTCAATCTTGTTCCCAGGACAAAAGTTCAAGTGTTCTTATATTTGGTCTTCCACCTGAAACTTCACAGGGAACTGAAAAAGATACTTTTGATCCATTTTTTGAAATTGGTGATGATGGTAGTATCAAGGATAAATTAATACCTAGTGTCAAAGATATGCAGCAGCCTATTTTAGAAACACTTGATAAAAAAGTGGATCCATTTGCTATTGCAGATCAATCTGATTTTTTTGGCACACAGACTACTAATGAACAATTTAACCCTTTTACTTCTGATGGGTCAAAGGAATCTAGTGAAAGTGCTTGGCATGTACTAAGTCAGCCTAGTTCTAATATTCACCAGAGCATTATGAGTAGTAACATGTGGAATACTGAAAGTGTAAAAGATTCACGAGAGTCTGTAGCTGACTTTGGGAGAATAACGACAGTCCCAAAAGAAAGTCAAGTTACTCACACTGAAATGACCATTTCTTCTGTAGAAGATAAAAATACCGATTCTTTTGAGTTTTTTTCACCACCAAAATCAGAAACTAAAAAACTACCTGAAACTAATGCTAAAAATGGGGACAAGTCACTTTTTTCCAATGAAGCATTTGATGCTTTAAGCTATTCCGACAACTTTCCAAGCTCTGAGAAGGATGATCAACCATTTTCTTTGTCAAATGAAACTCACAGAGAATCTAACATTTCCATTTTGAGTAGTTTCATTGATGAAGAAGAAAAATTTGGAAAAGAGAATATAGACAAATTAGTAAGAGATAGTGAACACAATGGGGAAGCTATTTTTGATCATTTTGAATCAAAAGAATTAGGGATTATGGAAGACCCTATTTCTAAGGAGCAGAAACCTCCAATTGAGGATTCAGCAACTGCTTTCATTGTGCCAGATAAAGGCAGTGGTGGTAAATTGGCAGATAGTGTGGATGAAAAAAGTTCTTTTTCTCAAGGTTTTTCAGGGATTTCTGATTTTGAGGTACTTTCCCCTAGTGTTGTTAGCCAGGAGAAAAATTCATTGCCATATAATTCTAAAAGAGAAGTTCCACCATTTGATGATATGTTTGGACAAATGCCCACAACTACAAAAACTGACTCTCAACTAGTATCGTCAGTTAGTGAGTTTGATGCTTTTGCCTCTTTCCCAGATGTATCAGAACAGAAGAGCACATCAATAGATCCATTTGACACAAGTAATATACATTTGGAACCAGTGAAAGACTCTGTACCATACACAGATACTGCAGCTTTTGAAGCTTTTGCTGCAAAATTTGAACAAGCAATTGAAAAGTTTGATACAGATGTAACAGTTGATGATGAATTTGATCCATTTGCTGCACCAAAAGGGAGCTCAAAAACAGATGAAGATGATGAAAAGGGATTTGGGACAGTAGATTTGTTTGATCCATTCCTTTCTATAACCAAGCCACATGAAAATACTCCTATAAAATTACCACCAAAAGAACCATCTCGAGATTCATTTGATGATGATGACACAGAGGATTTTTCTGTGGTTATCAAGCCAAAAATGAGAGAGAAAGGAGAACTGTCTTCCTTAGGTTTAGAACCACCACCACTGTTACCTCCACCACCAAAGACACCAACAAAAAGTCCCTCACCACAGATAACAACATCCAGATTTAATCCATTTGATAAAGATTCAAATGACATTCTGATAGAAGGATTTGGGCAAGAAAAGTTTGAAGAGGCTAGTGTTCAATCTGAAGAACCCCCACCTGCACTTGGAGAATCGGGGGTTCATAGGACAGATTCTACAGAAACACCTCCAACACCTCTCTTTGATGAAGATACTTCTCAGCCACTTGAAGTGTTTCCACCAAAGTTTGAAGGAGATGGTTGGGAAATGATGCTGAGGCAACCAAGTAAAAAGAAAATTACTGGAAATCGCTTTTGGAAGAAAGTGTTTTTGAAATTATCAGAAAACAGCATATTGCAACTCTTCAACAAACAAGAAGATAATGATCCTTTTCAGGAACTCCCGTTACAGGCATGTATAATATATTATTTTGTATCATATTGTATTCAGTATATTTTTCTTATAATGAAAATGGTATTTCAATATGTTTCAAAGATAACAATTTTTATTAAAATAGAACAAATTTGTTCACTTGATACTCTTACAATAACAAATAATTCATTTTTATGAACTGTGTTGAAACTATGATGTTATTATGTTGTTTTTAATTTAGGTGTTTTATTCCCAGCTTCCATCAACTGTACATTTTCTACAATTATTTTAAAGAAAAAAAAATAATATCAGTAAATCTACTGGAAATGAGAAAATTTAGAAAATATTATTATTTATACTAAACATGTCATTCTTATTTAAAACAACCTCTTTATTTTAATCTAAACAAAATAAAATAACTTTTAGGATATATCATAAATGTGATGAATTTGTTAACTTTTTCAAATTAGATGCTTGTTAGGAATATTATATTTTTGATTTGTGGTGTCTAATCATCATAAAAACTATTAAATTGATATGTAAAGCTACATGTAACCTCTGCTTTAGACTGAATATTTTGCATGAAATTGTTTCTAACTCTGCAGCAGAACTTGTTTCAGTTATTACTCTACAATGTTCTCTGTTCATATAGTTGGATTAAACTGTTCAGCTCTTGTGTGTTATTTATTACTGAATTAACAGAAATCACAATACAGGAATGTAGAAAGTTATATTTTAAGTTTTTGACCAGTTAATGAGTTGTGTATGTTAATACAGTAATTCATTAAAGCTTGAAATTTAGAAAGTGCTGTTCCTAATTTCAGGCTGTATTTTTAAGTGATCTAACACAAGAGCTTTGAATATTAACATAACATATGAACAATTTGGCAGTCCTCATTTTGTCTCTTAAACTTGTGTAAGGTGTTAACTTCCACTAGTGTTGATGACAATTCAATCCATTAGCTTATCACCCTGTTAGAATAACAGAACTATCCTAATTGGAGTATTATCTGTGTTTTCCAAATCCTAAGCCTGTGTCCTCTCATTATATTTCTTCCTGATTTATCACCAAGTGGTTAGAGACCTTTATTTTATTGACCCTGTGGATAATTTTGTAAACTCCAATAAGATTATCTCTTACCAATATTTTCTGAAGAGAAAAGAAGATATTTTAACGTGTCTCCATAAGATCATTTTTTCCATCCACTAAATCATTTTAGTTTAAAACTCATCTGAACTCATTCTTAGATAATGTGACCAAAACTATACAAAATATTTTCAGTGAGACCTAACTAGTGACTTGTATAAAGAAATAATTACTAGGTTTGCATAGGTTTTTGAGGTCCTGAAAAGTCCTGCACCTGAAAAAGCTTTTGAATTTGAAGTTTCAATAAAGAAACCTTTCTTGAAATATTGGCTTAATTAAACAAATAAATAACGAGTTTGATGATTGTAGTGTTTCTTATGTGGTTATTATGAATCTCATGCCTCACAAGACTAAGATTGTTTCAGTTTCTACTAGTGGGATTGTTTGAGGTATGAAAATGTAGGTTTAATAAAATATAATTCAAGTTATAGAAATCTGAATGCGTGTCCTGGAATTTTCATTAGTAAAGTATTATTGTTGATGGGTAGGAAGTTCCATATATATATATTATATATGTATTGTACTGTTTTTGCTTTGGGTAAATGTTTTGGTCTCTTGTGGCCTTTTACATGCAATGAATAGGAATTTTTCTATGGGAGGAAAAAAATTGTGTAGTAAATAAGAAAATCAACTGTTGTACCAGGGTCTGAAATGACAGTTAAAAACTTCAGTGGGAACTGGTAGTGCCATTAGCAATATTCTACTTCTTGGTTTAGGAAAAGTTCATGACTTGCAGCATATTTGGATACTATGTGTGTACCAAAGAAATATAAATAAATGTTTATTACACCTAAGAAATTTCTATTATATAAACAATAAGTAGGGTTTGTGATGTAGTAACTAAGGAAATGTCTATGATGTAAACAATAAGAATGGCTTACTGTTTAATAACTAAGGGAAGTTCTGTGATGTAAACAGTAGGAATGGCTTGTGGTTTAGTAACTAATGGAAGTTTTGTGATGTAAACAGTAGGAATGGCTTGTGGTTTAGTAACTAATGGAAGTTCTATGATGTAAACAGCAGGAATGGTTTGTGATGTAGTAACTAAGGAAATGTCTATGATGTAAACAATAAGAAGGGCTTGTGGTGTAGCTACATATGAAATCTCTTTCATGTAAACAGTAAGAATGGCTTACTGTTTAGTAACTAAGGGAAGTTCTGTGATGTAAACAATAGGAATGGTTTGTGGTTTAGTAACTAAAGGAAGTTCTGTGATGTCAACAATAGGAATGGTTTGTGGTTTAGTAACTAAGGGAAGTTCTGTGATGTCAACAATAGGAATGGTTTGTGGTTTAGTAACTATGGGAAGTTCTGTGATGTAAACAATAAGAAGGGCTTGTGGTGTAGCTACATATGAAATCTTTCATGCAAACAGTAAGAATGGCTTGTGGTTTAGTAACTAATGGAAGTTCTGTGATGTAAACAGTAGGAATGGCTTGTGGGTTAGTAACTAATGAAAGTTCTGTGATGTAAACAGTAGGAATGGCTTGTGGTTTAGTAACTAATGGAAGTTCTGTGATGTCAACAATAGGAGTGGTTTGTGGTTTAGTAACTAAGAGAAGTTCTGTGATGTAAACAGTAAGAAGGATGTGGTGTAGTAACTAAAGAAATCTCTGTGATGTAAACAATAAGAAGGATGTGGTGTAGTAACTAAAGAAATCTCTGTGATGTTAACAGTAAGAAGGGTTTATGGTGTAGTAACTAAGGAAATCTATGATCTAAACAAAGTGGCAAAGTAACTAAGAGAATCTTTGTGATGTAAACAGTAAGAAGGATGTGGTGTAGTAACTAAAGAAATCTCTGTGATGTAAACAGTAAGAAGGATGTGGTGTAGTAACTAAAGAAATCTCTGTGATGTAAACAATAAGAAGGATGTGGTGTAGTAACTAAAGAAATCTCTGTGATGTAAACAGTAAGAAGGATGTGGTGTAGTAACTAAGGAAATCTATGGGAAATGAAGAAAACCTTTGATATAAGTTTAACATAACAGCAAATGTACAATGTTTTCGACAAGGTTTCTAAGTCTGGTAACAGTATCCGGTCATGTGACCTCTTTGTT